GCTGACCAACCAACCTATTCCTGGCCACTAACAGCCCAAAGGAGAAATATTCCTTCACTATATTTTTCTTTCCTTTCTTGCTTTGAGTTTTTCCCCTACTAAAATGTGAAGTATTTATTTCTCATCAGGTTGGCTGGATATATCTTTTAGATTCCAATAATATTATGGTTTACATGTTTATTACTTGAAGGTTTTTGTTTTTATTTTCTGACAAAATTACTCAAAATGGAACAAGTGCTTACTATTTTTCTTTTTAAAAAAATGCAGAAGAAATATTTAATGCTTCACTTACAGGTTTAGTTAAAAGTATCCTCTAAATATCTCAACATTAATCATAGCAAATTAAATGAACCATAACTAATAAAGTGCATGTGTTTGTCATATAGTGTGTGTATGTCTACGTACATACACAATGTGGTGTTGAAAAGTTATTGGCCTGAACCAGAAGCCCTTTAAAAAATATTGGATATTTGTACAAATTTTAGAGTGGTCTGGGCAACAACTTTTCAGCACTGTTTTTTTGTATACAAAAGGGGTGCTGAAAAGTTCTTGACCTGACCTCTCTCAAAAATTTAGCCAAAGATCAGTTTTCTATTTTTGAGGATTTCTTAGCCAAACTGTGTGTGTGTGTGTGTGTATATATATATATATATATATATATATATATATATATATATATAGATAGATTTCATTAAATAATTTAGACACATCCTGTCTACTTATTTCCAATAAGATCCTTTCATACTCATAAATATGCTTTTTGTGCAGTTGTTAAAAGATGAGAGGAAAACACTGTTTTGGCTCATATTGTAATTTATTCTGCGTACTTTTGACATAGTTAAATATAGAGTAAGTATTTAGTGTTCATGGTTGTGAAGGACAAAAATTGTTGTGGTCATCTGAAGATGACCATTTTTATATGTGGAGGCACGGACGCTGTGTCATTGCTGGTTGGCAGACACTGTTTAAAGGAAGGTAACTAGGTACACTGTAGAAGTTCCAGGCTTGAGTAGTTGCTAGATAAAGGAAAAACTATTCGTGACAAGCGCTAACATTTAAAAACTATCTATTGTACACATTTTGAAATGTTTGTGGGGTATTCAAAATGAATTTTATTGAGGTTTGGTTTCAATTTTTTGATATGAATAGCTTTGAGAATTTTTAGCTGGAAAAGTATGGAGGTATTTTCAACAAGGATTTTTCTGAATTGGGAGTGTGGACAGGTATGTTGTAAATACTTACTCTATATACCCTGATGATGACCTTATGCTATGTTGAAAGTACTCGGAATAAATAAATTTTTTATAGTTCTCAATTAATGATTTGCAAATTTTAGTTGGTATTTTGCTCCATTCTTCTCTGCATATGATCTTCAGATCTGGGATGTTTGTTGGAACTCTTGATTAGATTTGAATTTTCAAATAATATCACAGATTCTTGATTATGTTTAAATCTGGAGACTGACTTGGCAATTTCAGGATATTTACATTTCTTCATAGATTTTGCAGTGTGCTTAGGATCATTATCTTGTTGGAAGATCCAGTCAGGAGGAGGTTCAAGATTTTCAACCGAAATTATTAAATTTGCTTCCAAAATATTTTGATATGCTACGGAATTCATTTTACCATCTATAACTGATATGTTGCCATTACCTTTTGCATCCCCAAACCATGAAGCTGCCACCATCAAATTTCACTGTTGGAACTGTGTTCTTTTGTTTGAAGGCATCAATATCATTCCTCCATACACGATTTTTAGAATTATGCCCAAACAACTCAGTTTTGGTTTTGTCTGTCCATAATACTCTTTCGCAATATGACTTTTCCTTATCCTTATATTAAAAATAAAAATTTTATTTTGAACAGAAACAGACTTTAAACTAGCAAGCTTTATGGAAAGTTTGAGAACTAAGTAGAAACTTGTACATTCATTTTTTTTTTTTTTTTTTTTAAATTTACATCATACTTAGGTGTTATTATGATCTATAGATTTTAGTTTTACTGATAGTTTAAAATGAGTAAATATCTATATCTTTTTTTATCATTAGTATCAGGAATGGACAATTAAGTTTTAAACAAAAAAATAAAAACTCCAAATTGTTTTTGGAATCAAAAATTAGGTTAAAATTTTTTTTCCCATTCTGATACCCCAGAAAGTTCCGATATTTCTGATTCCGATTACTCATTTCACCACATATATGCACATGTGATCTTCCGACAACTTCAATGGCCTGTTGAAGTCATCTGAAAATTGTGTGTGTGTGTGTGAAACTCAAGTTTTTATATACACACACATTGGCTACCTTTTTGTTATTGACCAAGACCATGAAACAACATCCAACAAAGGTTCACTGATGCCATGGACAGGATGATAAGCCTTTTGTTTAAGGCTACGGCCAGCCAGTAGCACTAGCCAGTAAGATCTTCCAAAGACAATGTGCAATACTTGTGTATGAAATTTTTAAAGTGAAGAAAGATGGTACACATAGTCAGTCCCACTC